CAGAGGTGAGATGAAGAGAAACCAGGAAAAAGAAATTGTTGGTTGCCAATGCGGATTGTTTTTATTTTTTATTCTATTATTATATTATTATTATTATTCATAATTATCAGTATAAGGAGTGTAACAAAAAATCCACACTTTTGTTTGAGCATGCGATTTTTTTTTTCATTATAATGAAGCTTAGAAAAGAAAGGAAAAAAAAAAAATCGTTGTGTTACCACAGAGCTCAATGGGGATGATGCAACCGCCCTTCTTGATTCCTTGTGGAATCTGTGTACAGTGTATATGGATATGCATTTATATGGTTTATTCTTATATACATATATGCATATATACACATATATACAAAACATACTGATATACACACTTATATGCATGTGTACACATATAAACACACACTCTCTCTCTCTATATATATATGTACATATATATGTATGTATGTACATGTTTGTGTATGTACGTATATATATATATATATATATATATATATATATATATATATTATATATATATATATATATGCGTATACACATATATATATATATATATATATATATATATATATATATATATATATATATAATATATATATTATATATATATATGTATCAATATATATATATATATATATATATATATATATATATATATATATATATGAACACATATATTCATATATGTGTGTGTGTGTGTGTGAGTGAATGTGTGTATGTATATATATTATATATATGTATAACTCTATGCATATATGTGTTGTTTGTGCATTTGTGTGTATGTGTGTGCATGTATATATATATATATATTATATATATATATATATATATATATATATATATATATATATGTATATATGATGTTGTGTGTGTGTGTGTGTGTGTGTGTGTGTGTGTGTGTGTGTGTGTGTGGTGTGTGTGTGTGTGTGTGCGTGTGTGTGTGTATATATACATACATGCGAATATGTATACATACATATATATCCATATATACATACGCATATGTATGTACATTTAAATATATACTGTATATATATAAACTATATATGTGTATATGCATATAATCATGTACATATATATGCTTTTTTTGTGTATATGTATGTGTATATGTTTAGGTGATATATATGTATATATAAACATACACACACACATATACATACAAAATATAACCTTGAAATAGTCATTCAAATTATCGAAAGGTAACTATGTAAATAACTAATACGTAAAATAATTTATTTCCATGTTCCAAAAAAGAGAGGGATTTAATGAAATTTATTAGTTCTCATCTTTCTGTAGATATCAGAAATTCATGACTAGAGAACTGCTTTCTTCACGTACTTCACTATTTTCATGAACGGTATGACTTTGTGCCCACGGAACTAAGGAAAATAGAATATTATTGAATTCACGTTAAGTTCATTTACCCCCCTAATAAGTTCATCCCTCCCTCCCCATTGATATCAGCTGTTTGGTGACTAATGGTCGATGGTGTAGGCGCCCAAGAGACAAGCACAGCTGGCGGGAAGCTTGAAGGTCTCGATGGCGAAGGGGAAGTACTGATCATAGGAGTCGTAGACAAGGAAGCGGTGGTAGACGGACTTCTGCAGACACTTGGACTCGTAGCACTCAGGCACCAGAGGACATGCATCGGCGGAACTGAGACACTCTTCGATGCGTGTAGTCTGAGTGAGAGTCTGATAATGGGCATCGATATTGTTGACAACCACACGCCATTTTCCCTCGGTGTTCAGGGCACGAAGGGGCCTGACGTAAGCGGTCTCTGATGGGCACAAGTAAGTTTCCTCCTCCAGGGTGTTTGGTCGGTCGACAGACAGCTCGGTGTTGAGGTCGGCTACGTCAGCATAGAGGGAGAGGAGCTTCTCGTAGTGGTACTCTGCTGCGTGTTTGATCTCGTAGGTGGGATAGTGGTCGTCCTCGAGGCACCAAGCTTTGGTTGTGTTGGCAGCACATTCTGGCACAGCAGGCTCGTGTTGATGCTCATAGGAAGGCTGTGGGTGATAAGCGGAGCAGGGTGGTAGGAAGGTTGTGGATGGTAGGAAGGCTGAGTGTGGTAGGTAGGTTGATGGTGGTGGTATGAAGGACTTGCGTGATGGGAGGCCAGAACAGCGACCGCCAAAGACAGCGAAACCTGCAATACAGAATATGGTAAAATGAGTTCACTTTGATGATGCTTGCATCCACTGTATTCAAAGTATTTCGTGTACGAACTAATTAACACACACACACCAACACTCGTCTGTGCATGTAAATTTGTCTCAGAACATAATAGGAACTCACCAAGTATCGGAAAGCCATGGTTCTACTCTCAGCTCTCGGTGCCTTCGCACTGTAGCGACCGTGATGATGGGCGCCTTTATATAGGGAGCAGTGTCGTTCCTCCACTCCCCCCTATCCCCCCCACAGCACAACCGAACCGTGAGAATTCAATGATTCATAGATCATTTAAATGTTTCCCGGCTTATATTTTTGTTTTTCTACTATATAATATATATATATATATATATATATATATATATATATATATATATATATATATATATATATATATATATATATATATATGGAAGCAAAAAAAGAAAGGTAAAATTAGTGTGGAATACAAACATTAAAAAGAGGCATTTCTGGAAGCGAATAATTACAGTGAAAGGTATCCTTGGGCCAGCCAGCCCGCTTCGGAGAGGTCAAGACGTGTTTCCTTTCTCCGTCCTATGAGTTTGATTACGAACAGCATTATGTCTAAACACGACTATCAATATATGTGTGTGTAAGTGTGTAGTACATATATGTTTGTCGATTACATCTTTATCAAAATACCTACTCTCTTACTGTGAAGATTTTCCCTCTGATTCATACCTTTTCTACATTTGCGCAGTGAGCACGGTACAAATGACAAATATATATACATATAATTATGTGTGTATTTATATATACATTTATGTGTTTATATACAGAATCCACACATACTTATATACATGAATACATATAAATGTATATACAGCATACATAATTCATATATATATATGTATATATATATATATATATATATATATATATAATATATATATATATATATATATATATATATAATTAGATCCACATGTATATATGACTTGTACGTATATATATGTATCTATACAGTATGCACACATAAACATATATATGAACGTCTGTTTGTATACAGTTAACACACACACACAACGCACACACATATATATGTGTGTTATATGCATATATAATATAAATGTAAATGTTCATATATACATATACACATAAATTGTGTGTGTATAGAAATATGAATTATATATATATATATATATATATATATATATATATAATATATTATATTATATATATATTATATAATATATATATAATATTATATATATATATATATATATATATATATATATACATATATATGTATGTATGTATGTATCTGCATGAATATATATATATATATATATAATATATATATATATATATTATATATATATAATATATATATATATGTATGTATGTATATATGTATATATATGTATTTGTTGTCTTACACACATATATACTTATATTTATACATACATATACATATACATACATATTTATGTACATATATATACGTACACACACACACACACACACACACACACGTATGTGTGATGTGCGTTCCGAAGATTGGTGGGTGTAATGTATGTGTAAATCAGTATATAAATGACTAAACTTAAAAGAAATTTAACCACATATATACGTATATTTATGTGCATGTGTATATGAACATATGCATTTCTTTATATCACTAAACCTTTATGCATCCCAGTAGCTTTGTGGTGTTTAACAGTCATATTCATCACTGGAGTTTGGAAACTGTTACAAATTGCTTGGGTAATACGGGTATCTTTCACTATTCTATCGTAGTTTGTGGAATGACTTTGAAGTAATTTCCTTTATATAAATTGGCAGTTCCCATTTCGCTACCTTAACCATTTTTAGCTTCTGTCTTGGCTCATGTCCCACTCACAATACTTTGCTACGGTAGTTTTTTCTTACAGACAGTATGAAAATTGTAATGAGAATGGTACTTGTTACCAGCCTTCATATTATCTAAATATTGATATATATACATATATACATATTTTGATGTACATATTTATGTATGTGTATGTGTATTTGTGCGTATATATTTATATTAATTCTTATCATTATTACTACACTCTTAACCTTATGCAATGATCATTACTTTCGTTACCATCACCACTATAAGGTCTTATTAATTATAATTATTAGTTATTGATGTACGGTATTACACTATAGCAAATCATTCATTTTATCAATATAATTATCATTATTATATTATTTGTCATCTAATTCTTATTCTTGAGAAAAGAAATATCACTATTGTGAATATTACTGCTTTCCTTTTAGATTATTATTACTATCACTGCTTTCATCATAACCATAGCTATCTTCATTGCAATTAGTGCTATAATTATCATTACTTAATCATTAATACTACAAATAACGTGTATAGGAGTAAGAAATCATATAGATATGTTCAGAAATGTTTGTTTATAAAATATTACAATGGACTTCACGCTTTACATGGATGAAGAGAAGAGAGAGAGAGAGCATTCGCAGGAGAATCCCTTCCGTTACTAGCATGACTTGTGTCGGTACGTGAAGAACGCAGTTCTTCAGTCACGCGGTTGTTTCTCCTGCTTGAAGGACTTACAGGGTTCTTGGTGTTCCATGTGCCATGGAGTGTTGTGTGAAGAGGCGATTCGTTGAGAAGCGTGTGGCGTGTTAGGCGGGAAGGTGGCATGAGCAGGCAGATGGCATCTTGTAGATGTCGATGAAGAGGCCCCTGTAGGGGTCACATGGGTCGTAGGAGAGGAGTCGGTGGTACACTGACTTCTGGGTGCAGTGGCTCTGGTAGCAAGGAGCAAGGGCGCGGCAAGCAGCCTCTGGGAACAGACAAGTCTCGAGGCGGGC